TTCAGGACTCATAATGTCAAGGTTAAACTTCACACTTATGTGTATAGTTTTAGTCCTTTGAGCCGTCTGACTTAAAACATGGCAGGGCAGGACTATGGAATGAGAACTGAGCTGGACATGCCCCTACCCCAATTCTCAACCAACTTGGTTACTGCCAGACATATGTCATTAATGTGCAAAATAGTTAGATAGTAGATTTTTTACTATTGTTGTAAATGCAAAATGTCAGATAATGAGATAGTCAATAAGTGAGGAGAAGGTGTACTAATCTGTCCTTGGCAGCATGTGTCTTAGCTTTGCTTTCCCAGATTTAGTAATGTATTTACATTGATCCATATAGGCTTAATTGCAGGATCACAATGAAGTCTAGCTATAAAATAAAGATCCTTTCAGGACATTGGGCTCTAACTAACCAAGAGTCACAATAGATGGTCCTTGTCTCAGTTATCTAGTGCTGCTATAACAGAAATACCACAAGTGGATGGTTTTAACAAAGAGAAATTTATTTCCTCACAGTAAAGTAGGCTAGAAATCCAAATTCAGGGCATCACCTCCAGGGGAAGCCTTTCTCTCTCTGTCGGCTCTGGAGGAAGGTCCCTCTCATCAATCTTCCCCTAGACTAGGAGCTTCTCCACAAAGGAACCCTGGGTCCAAAGGACGTGCTCTGCTCCCGACACTGCTTTCCTGGTGGAGTGAAGTCTCCCTGTCTCTCTGCTCACTTCTCTCTTTTATATCCCAAAAGACATTGGCTCAAGACCCAATCCAATCTTGTAGATTGAGTCCTGCCTCATTAACATAACTGTCGCCTATCCTGCCTCATTAACATCATAGAGGCAGAATTTACAACACATAGGAAAATCACATCAGATGACAAAATGGTGGACAATCACACAATACCAGGAATCATGGGCTGGCCAAATTGATACACGTATTTTTTGGAGACACAATTCAATCTGTGACAGTCCCGGATAGAATAGGACAAAAATGTAGAACAAAACTCAAATTCTTAAAAAAATCAGACTAACTGGACCAGTTGAGACCAGAGGACTCCCTGAGACTATCACCCTGAGACACTCTTTAAACCTTGAACTGAAACTATCCCCTGAGATAACCTTTTAGTGAAATAGCAGAGTGGCACACAAAATAAAGGACCTAAGAACGGTGCCCTACTAAAAAACCCTCTGTATGAGATGAGAAGATAAGGGGGCAGGGAAACTAGAGTACTGGAAATAGAATAAACTGAACACAATTAAAGAGAATTCTGACACGTTGTGAAAAATGTAACTAATGTCATTGAACAATTTGTGTAGATATTGTCAAATGGGAACCTAACTTGCTGTGTAAACTTTCACCAGAAACACAATAAAATATTATCAACCCACTTGGCAGTTAATTTGGACTGTGCCACTGTGAGTGTAATTACTGAGCAATGATACTGGAAATTGCAATACTTTTTTCATGGGCACTTATAGCACCGTGTACACCAAATCATATTTTTGTTTTAATGACTCGGTTAAGAAAGCCAATTCAATTTTTAACAAACATTTATCTCCCCCCTCAAACTGATCTTTTTGATCTTTCTTAAATATGACAATATTGGCTTCTCAGGGCCTTTGTACTTGGTCACTTCCTTATGCAGGTCTCAGCTTAAAAGTTACAACTCTATGGAGGATACACCCCTCCCAGCTCCTTCTTCAGTCTTTTGTCCTGCTTTATGTTATGCATAGTTCTTACCACTGCTTTGATTAAAAAAAAAAAACCTGGAGCAAAGTTATGTTAATGCTAATGCTTTATTGGGAGGTGTGATTGGTGGAGGGTAGGGAGGGGAGAGAAAGTAGGGCAGATAGAAAACAAATACAAAGATGGTGCCTTACAGAAGCCATTTCGTCCCCAGAAAATATAGCTTGTTGCTCAATTCTGGTTCACCTGCTGGATCCTTCCCATCTCTGTCTCTCATTGATCCAAGTTCATTCCTTAGGACGCTAATGTCCTACATTTCCCTGTTGTGTTGTGTGGTCCCTCTGGACAGCAGTTGGGCACAGGAATTGCTGTGGCCTCCCCACCTCTAGAGAGTTAGGTGGAAGCTGGGAATTTATGGCCCAGGGGACTGTGCAAGTTGATGCTGGGGTGGCTTCAGTTTAGAAGCGGGGCAAGTGGCTTAAGCCTAGGGAGCAGTGGGGCCAAGTGGATCTGAGATGTACATAAACTGGCTCCAGTACCCTGATATGTGTATTTATCTATTATCTTCTGCTCCACTTGGGAGCACAGGGACTGCTTCTTTTGTTCTTTGCTGTATCCAAAATCATAAGAACAGTGTCTGGCATACAATAGCTACTCAATAAACGTTTGTTGAATGAATGAATGAATTTTTTGAGTCCCTACTATTGTCAGGGATTGTCACAGCGCTAGAAACGACAGACATTGTGACCATCTTGCAGTTGGAAAAATTAAGGAGAAATGTGACTTTCTTAGTACTAATTAAAATGGAAGTAGTTTCTAGATTTCCAGAATTCTGGCCTTATTCTACAAGAAACAGTGTATTTCAGGATATAAGTACCCTTGACTTGACATTCCGTGTCCTTTCTGAGAAAATGACTGTTTCTAAGCTAACTTGTTTTATGGGCATTTAGTTCTTGTGCTTACTTTTCCTGATTTATAAAATAAACATGGACCATGGAATCTACCAAATGGATGCCCCCAAAATTTGTAGTATTGACCCCGGAAGAACTTGACTTTACAAAACGTAGGCTAATGTCCAGACCTGATGATGTAGTATCATAACCATGCAGCAAATTACGGCCATTCCCTGCTTTGTCTCCGGCCTTCTGTGGCTGCCTCTTTCTGCTCTTCTCCTTGGCCACAGACTGAGACCAGCAGTCAGAGCAGGTCACAGAAGGATCCAGAAATCCAAGAAGAGGTTTTTGTGCCAGTAAATAAAAGGATGTATCATTCCTCTAGAGCTCATTGTTTAAATTACCATGTTTATTTATGTCAACACAAAATACAATAAAACAACTTACAAAAAACCATTTACTTCATGTAACATAACTCTTCAGTGAACAGAAGTACTACTGTTAATGTTTTGGCCTTTTCAAGGTCCAGCCTTGGGTCAAAACAGTATTCAGAGAAATAGCAGATTCTTCTCTACCTTCCCCAGTATGCACACAACGGAAACTTATATATTCTAAAATCCCATTCCAGTAATAATACCAAAATATGACAATAAGTCCGATGTAGAAGCGAATACTACTGCTGTGCCATCAGGATTGGAACTTGCATGTTGCCATAGGTTCTCCACAGACCCTGGGCTTCAATCAGGCATATAGTAGGTACATCATCCCTGCAAGTTTCTTAGGCGATTGGTTAGTAATTCTTCTAATATAGCAGTGTACTCCCCAAGTGTTTGATTTACCTGAGTTATTTAGGCACCAGAAAAAACAGGAAGTCTCTAAGTGATCAAATATGTAGAGATCTATGTGGTAGAAGAATTCAAGAAACTTAACATAGAATACTCTGTGACAATTCAATGGATAAATATGAAGCCTTCATTCCATAATGAATTATTCGTCTAGTAAAGGGCTTCACACTACAGTTTATTCAAAGGTAATAAACATTGAATGAACGTACAATACTTCACCTCTGTTCCAGTAGTCTAAACGCGATTTGTTTAGTGTCACTACATTTTTAAAGAATTGATATCTATCATTTAGCTAAATCTTTCCATCATTTCACTGACAAAAAAGGCACTCTTGTGCAGTGGAAAGAGGAACTAGCTTGGAGTTAGAAGATCTAGATTCTGGACCCTGTTCTTCTACTCACTCTCTGAGCCTTAGTTTCCTTATCTGTAAAATGGGGCTAACATTTTCCTGAACTCTATCACAACTATGAGGATCAAATGAGATGAAAGTGCTGTGTAAAGTAGTATTAACTATAAGAAATAATATAATTCTACAAAGTTCATCTCTTCAATCAATTTATGGCTCTCTAATTATCCATATATATTTTGCAAGTAAAATTTTACTTTTAAAGCAAATGTCTGAGACATAACCGCCATGTGCAGCTGAAATGTGCAGGTTGGGTTATGCAATGTGAAAAGAATGTATCTAGAAAAGCCTATTACTCATGAAGGACGTGTATACTCTTAATGTATTTCATTTGAAACTATTTAAAATTTTATTCCCTTTAACCTATGTTCCTTTTGTATTATTGGAGCTCTCTTTTAATAAAATATCAAATCATTTAAAGTAAAATATTTTTTTAAAAATCAAAGCCTTCATATGATGATTATAGATTTTAGATGATTGTAAAACTGAGTAAAATGGATTGAGAAATACAGGAGAAGTAGTAGTTTAAAAACTCAAGGTCAAGAGGGAAACAGAATGTAGAGGTTTACTTCTCGGGTAATTAAAAATAAACTAAATGATAGGCTTCTTATTTTTGTTTTATTCTGGTAACTTCCTAATTTATAAATTACTTCATCTGGAAAACAAATAAAAACTTGTTTGTGTACCCAATTTTTACATACATACAAATCCACCAAAATGATGAACACTTACTTTTCATTCTTACATTTGGAATAACTTTACAAGAATTGCTTCTCTCAGCTGAAATAAAATCACAATTTCATTTCTCATAGATTTTTAAAACTCTCTCTTCAGGAAAAGGCAGATTTACTAAAAGTTTAGCATTTTTTGGCAAGTGTGGGTATATAATGTGAGCGATGGACTTTGTGACTTTGCTGAGACAAAGACTTTGGGTAGCTGTATTCCTGAAATAAATGAGACTCTCATTTCAAACATTTTTCAAATGCAGACCAGGCCCCCATGAATCATTGTGATTTTTTTTGATGCATTAATATAACAGAGTTAATATTCCTCAAATGATTCCCAAAGTCACCCCTTTGCTAAGGATATTCCTGTTCTTGATTATTTTGAACCTGCCAACATAGTCTCTAACTTTCATACAGACAATGACTGATCTCCAAATGACCTATTATTATCTTAAACCAACCTCATTTTGAAGGAACAAAGCAAGAAAAATTAAATAGTGCATTAACATTTCATCTCAGTGAAACAGACTTTTTCTGTGCATAAAATAGTCCTACCCATCTGTGGAAAGGTCCAGCTTTTGCTTTTCCCTGTGTTTATAGGTTACATTTTTAAAGGTACTGGTGGAGCCTCTGTACAGTGGATTGGTTCCCTAAAAAAAAAAAAAAAGGTTCACATGAAAGTATGTACATTTTTATTATGTTATTTTAATTTTCTAAATAATTTCATTGTCTATTACAAATTAGAAAGGAAAGTCAAGCTCAATACTGGAAGCCATTTGACTAATTTTGATCAATTTGATATTTCACACTTTCAGCATTTTTAAATTTATACACCTTCATTTTATTTTGTAATATGCAGAACCATCCATATATGCATTCTAAAAATATCACTCATTTTGGAAATCCACAAATTTGTAGATAATAAAACAAGACTTTGTTGTTTTGTTCAATACTGCTTTACCAGTGCTGCCAACAGTAGCTAGTTCACAGTAGACAGTCAGTGTTTATTGAATGAATAGAACGAACACTGATAGGTGATCCAAAAGTGAAGTGGAAGGTGAAAAATAGAAAATGAGGAACCGGAAATTGGTAGAGGCCTGCAAAGATGAATGATACTGCCTTTAAGGAATGTGTGGTGAGAGGAATCAAACAAGGGTGCAAATAATCTTACTTTTAAAATAAGATCAAAACTCAGAAGGGAGAGCAACTAGCTGCTTAGGGGAATTAGGGAAAGATTCCTAGGACAGCTAACATTTGCTCTGGATAGTACAAAAACTAATTTGCTCATTAGAGAATAAAAGTGTGCAAAGCAGAGAGTTGCAAGAGACTGGTGTTGTAGGACACAGGGTTCAGGTAGGAGTGCAGGTCCCAAGGCAGGTTAGGCAAGATGGTTTTACCCTGGGTGCCGTGGGGAGGTTGTGTGCTACGGCCTTGATAGCTCAGCTGTGCTGTTTGGGCTGTAGATGTGTTTCCAGGTGGTGACAGCAGTGGTACTATCACCAGATGGACCACAAGGACCAAGCCTCTCTAGGCATTTGAAGAAACATGTAGCAGGATCACCTAATTTCTTCCTTTTGGTTTAGTTGTTTCCGGCAGGTGCAAGGTGTCTGGGTAAGGTGTAGCTCTTCCCTCCCACATCCCAAAGTTGAGACAGGTGCAAGGTGTCTGGGTAAAGTATAGCTCTTCCCTCCCACATCCCGAAGTTGACCACACAAGCTTTGCCATCAGACAACCTGGGTTCAAACCCCAGCTATACCACCTGCCCTTCTTAAGCAACTCTGAGGTCCCTGGGTGGCCCTCAACTTCTAAATGTTGGTGGTTCAAACTCATCCAGTGGTATGCAGAAGAAAGGCCTGGCAACCTGCTTCCATAAATATTACAGCCAAAAAAACCTCATGGTGCATTTCTAATCTGTAAAATACATGGTCACCATGAGTTGGAATTGACTCAACGGCAAAGGGGTTTTTTTTTTTTTAAAAGTAATTCTGAGCCTTGGTGTCCTCCTCTATAAAAGAGGGATTACAAAAGTGCCTACTTCATACATGAAGAAATATACTTTAGCAGTAAGTGCTCAGTAATGGTTGCCTTATTAGTTCTGATTTATGACTTTCTATTTGGAATTTCTTTAACTTTTAGGTCCTTTTTTTTCCCCCCAGCTGTTGAGTCATTTCTGACTCATGGAGACTCCATGTGTGTAAGAAGTAGAACTGTGCTCCATAGGGTTTTCAATGGCTGATGTTTTGGAAGTAGATGACCAGGCCTTTCTTCCAACATGCCTCTGGGTGGACTCAAACCTCCAACCTTACAGTTACCAGATGAGTACTTTAACCAGTTGCCCCACCCAGGGACTCCTTATGTCCCAGAGAGGGTCATAAAGATATTTTCTCCCAGGGCTTTGGTGCTCTTAAAGTTTCTAAGCCCATTTAAGAGTACAAGTCCGATAACCACCTCTGACCATCTAAATTACTAAATTTTATACTTTGGTCTTCCAATCACCATGGATTGTAGAGTTGGTAGCAATTTATATACCTGCATTTAAAGAAACATGATTGCGTTTGTTTTCCTGGTACATTCTTTCAGCTACCATAAGAATCACACCTGCACTCATTTCTGTGTTGGCCGGAACCATTGACCTGACCTCTGACTGAGTGACAAATTGCCTTTATTCATGTTCCCTTGGGGAGAGATGGTATCTCTGTAAAGAGGGTAAATGGCTGATGCTGGATAATGGATGAAGGAAGTCACCATATTGCTTCTGCTACTGAAATCAGCCTGGATAATTCTGAGGAAACTTTGGTCCTTATTTAGTCCAGCCGTTGAAGAACTCAGTTGAGCTTAATTTGGAGGGCGAAGAAGAGACTGATGTGGTCTTAACCCAAGGGCAATTAGTTGGAGAGGCCAGGAAATGTTTTGTAAACAAAAATCATGTATGGAATTCTATCTAGTTTTAGAGACTGGAAACTTACATTGGTTACAGAAGAAAAAGGGGCTCACCTGAAGAGGAAAGATGAGCAATATAGGGGGTACACATTGGTAATAATGGTGGAGCACTGTCCCGGAGGACGAGAGAACTTTAGTGAACAGAAGACACTCTGAAAAGAGTAAACAGGCTGTGAGCAAGGCCAGCTTAGGTCTGTGTTAAGGCCTGGGCACTTTTGTAGGCTTCACTCCATATCATGTCAAACACGTTAAAATGTACCCACATCCCACACTAGATATAATTTATATGCACTATAAAGGAGGGGACATGAGTTGCAATTAACTGAATAACAGTATTATTTTGTAGGCATTTAATTAAATATTTAATTTTGATTTTACAGTTTTGATTTTATATTTTGAAGGTCTAAAATATTTTGTGAGTCCCTTGCAAAGCTAGTTACAGGGCCTAGGCACTAAGGGGGTGGTGGTGGTGATGGATGAAGCAGATCCTGCAGGAGGGTAAGATAAACGTTTAAAGGTAGAGGAAGAGCAAGTGCATATTTCTGGGGGGTAATAGAATCTTTCCTATTCTTATGAAAGGAATACACAAGAGAATGAGCTCAAACTGGATTTTGTTGGTGGAAGTATGGAAATGTCCAGAACTGCCTCCTGAAGCACCATGCAGGTCATAACCTCCCTAAATAGAATTTCCAACTGAGACGCCAGCTAGGGTTTGCCTCCATTTTGGGTGGGTCTGCACCCAAACACTGGTTTTTCCCCCAACCTTCTGATCAATCACATACGGGTGACCAGGCTGATTACCCAGGAATCTGGGGTGCTACTTTAGGCTGTGGATTCTGCAAATCCAAGGGCACATTTTTAGAGCTTGAAAAAGTGGTAATGAGAAAGGTCTTTGCCATGACCCACAGCTCCCTTAATGATTGCCTAACTGCCAAATGCAGACCTGATTTGCTTAGCACAGTACAAAATCAATCCATGGCTGCAAGAAATGTCAGGCGGAACTTTTTTTTGCCTCTGGTTAATGACTTGTCGTTCTAGAAAAAATAATCCAATCAAAGATGAATTTAAATATCTTCCCTATGTGTTTTCATAAAGAATATGGATGGGGGGTTATTTTTAAAACTGTAATAAAAAGGTAACCTTTTATTTCTATGATGAAATGTTTCAGAAGGCAAAGACAAAGATCGTTCTAGCCTTGAGCACTGCTGTCCAATGAGGGGCGATGGGTCAGGAGACTCCTTTCCATCCCTGAAGTCTTCTGGGTTTTGAAGACCAGTCACATTCACTTATTGAAGAATGAATAGGGTTTAGATAAAAACTGAATTTAATTGAAGATCCCAAAATGGATGCACTGATCAACTTTCTTTTCCCCCAAGGAAGATACATTAGTGAAATTTGAATTGTTGGAATTAAAGCTCTTTTGCATCCAAGTGAATAATTATTACCCAGTCATTATCTAGTCAAGAACATCAAACATTTGTTATTCAAAGAAACTCAATTTAACAAGAGAATAATATTTTTCATTTATGCTTTTATCTGTTTAATGCATGTTTTTGTCCCATTTTAGATGAAGAAACAGCAAAAATTCCGCATATGAATTTCAGTCATGTTCTACATCCTAAGGGAGAACAATTCATGTTTTGGGGAAATTAACCGTTAATTAAAATGTTATTTTAAAGATATTAATCATTTGTCAGTACTTATGCCTTTGTATGAGCACATTAAAATGTGCTGGTTAGTAGATACACATCATATAATTGCTCAAATGCTTGTTTGCGGAACACCTGCTTATTGTTTCTAGGAGGGTCAATCAAAGGCTGTGCCTGGAAAAGCAGGCTGCAATTACAGTTTCGACCCTGCTATGCAGGAAGAGTCTGGGAAATCTCTTCACTTCTCTGAGCCTCAGTTTCCTTACCTTCAAAATGGGAATACCAAGACTACTTCAGAGGCCTAGTGGTTGTTAAACTAATTGCTGCCATTTTGTGTGTGTGTGTGTGTGTCTGTGCGTGTGTGCGCGCGCGCACGCACCGGATTAACCACATTCTTTTGTCTGGTTTCCCTTTTGACTATTGCCAGGCATTCCTTTGACAGTTGGAGAGAGTTAAAGATAACATCTGTGGCCATGGGGTCAGGTGAAGTTGACTATCTCACAACTTTGGCCTCATTAACATGATTGTCTAAGTTACCAAGCTAACCCTTTAGGCTACATTTTACATTGTTAGGGATGGATAAATTATATTCTCATTGCAAAGCCACAATTTACTTTCCTAAGAGATCTTGCTTAATTAGGAAAAATTAATACACACACACACACAAAAGAGGAAAACTGTATAATGAACCTCCATAGATTCATCACCCAAATTCAACAGTTACAAAGATTTTGCTACACTTGCTTCAACTATCTCTCCTTCCCTTTCTTTCTTTTGGCCAAAGTATTTTAAAGCCAACCATAGTCTTCATTTCCTTTCACTCCTATATGCATTCCTAAAAAATATGAGTGCATGAAACCATGATGTCATTATCATATCTAATTAAGTTAATCGTAATTCCTAGTCCATGCTAACATTTTCCCAATTGTCTCAAAAATGTAATTTTGCAGTTGGACTATTCAAGCAAGATCCATACACTGCATTTGCTTGTTGTATCTAAAGGCATTTTTAATGGGAAGATAAAGTAGGTAGAATTTTTCACTGTCCATTGTCCTGCACCATATATTATGATTAGTTTGAAATAACTACATAAAATATAAACATCCTTTATCAAGATAAATTTATCCAAAAGAGAAAATTCCATTTGCTTTAGGAATCAAAGATATCACTATAGACTTAGAGAAAAAAAAAGGGTTTCAGCATCAATTTATCTGGGCAGGTGAACTCAAAGGAGCACTGTATCTGTCCATATTTTTCCAATGATATCATCACTGTTTTTAGAATCAACAATGTAAGATAATTGCTATTAGATAGCTGGACACACCATTAGAGATAGAGAGATGAAATTAAAACCATGAAATTGCTTCTATGGGTCTCTAGAAATGTAATTATCTCTCCGGTGGAAAAGAAACACAGAAAATTGGAGTCCTGTTCTATGTTTGCCTACTGTGAAGAGGAGACACTTAAATTATATTTATGGAGTACTTATATATGAAGGTATACCAACCTTCAAATACATGTGGCTGTTTTAAAACTTATGTTATTCAGAAAAACTAACTGGATGATATATAAAATGTCTTTTTAAGTTTTCTTTGTAACCTATTATGAGTAAGGAGTATTTCCAAGGAAATTGGCATGAACTGTCCTAAAACTCATGAACGTTATTCCATTAGCTGTAACATAACTGGTTTATAGAAATGTTTAGATACAGCACCTGTACTTTATCAAATGGGGCCTGAGGGGTCATCCTGGTGGTGAGGAAGTCCTGATAAAATATGTTCCCTTGATGTCCCTATGGAGCTAAATCATGTGTTTCATGAGACTCGCCAACAGTTACTGTTGAGTCGATTTTGACTCATGGTGACTTCATGTGTTGCAGGGTAGAACTGCACTCCATGGGGTTTTAATGCTTTTGGAAGCAGATTGCCAGGTGTTTCCTCTGAGATGCCTCTAGGTGGGTTCAAACTGCCAACCTGTAGGTTAGTAATTGAGCGTTTAACTGTTTGCGTCACCCAGACACTCCATGAGATTCTCCAGAGGGGTGTAAAGCCCCACTGCACTGAGAGACAAATGTATGTTATGAGAGTCATCTGGGTCCCCAATAATAGACAGAGGTACCTTTGCCCCAAAGCAGAAAAGAAGTCAAAGCTGTTAGGACATGGTGAGTGAAGTAGAGGAAGAACTGAACATTCTAACTCCCTTTTAGAACAGAAGAAAGTTGAGCCCCCAATCTCTTCCACAAGCCCATTCCCCCTAGACCAACAGGGGCCCCTAAGTGTTCACATACTGTTTGCCATTTGGCCTTCGATCGTTCTGCCTCAAATTTGGCGACTTCTTTACGATCATGAAATGACACCAGCAGCTTCCAAATGCACAGTAGGACAACCCCAATGAGTAGAATAGCCAGTGAAACGCCCAACATGATCATGGGGATGTTTGGAGGTTTTGGACAATCTGTGGAAATGAAGGAAATTACGTTTAGAAGGCGGTACAATTAGTATTTTGACATAGGGAAAATATTTCTCTTTAAATTTTTCATTCGTACCTTTTGTTCGGTAGAGAGGACAATATTGACACCTTTTTGTTTTGCTGAAATGAATGACTTATGAAAGATATCCTTGTTGTTAGTTGTGGTCCAGTCGATTCTGACTCAAGATGACTCCATATATGCAGAGTAGAACTGCTCCATGGGGTTTTCAAGGCTTGATCTTTCAAAAGCAGATGGCCAGGCCTGCGTCTTATGTGCCTCTGGGTGGGTTTGAACTGCCAGTCTTTTGGCTAGTAGTAGGGCGCTTAACCATTTAAGCCACCCAGGGCTCTAATATCCCTACGTTTCTTCAAAGTAGAACAAAAGATAAAGGAAGAGTTTAGTTGTGCAAAATAAATGCATATATACTTGATGGCTGACTCAGAAATGATTTAGAATCCAAGAATAACAATTAATGCACATGGGATGAGTAAAGAACCATAAAAAAGACTATAGTTTAACCATGAAAGATAGTCTCTTTCAGATACATGACAAAGTAGAAATGGAATGTGTGTCTGTAATTAGTTTTTTCACAGATTTTCTGGAATCATGAGCAATGTAGGATATTATATTAAAAATTAATTAAAAGTTACCCCTGAACAGATTACATTTGTTTGTTTCACTTACTTTTATAGACAGAAGACAATCATGACTTTTAAATATTATTTATTTACCCCTAATGCAGTGCTCTGTTGTTGTTAGGTGCCCTCGAGTTCGTTTTGACTTATAGGAACCCCATGTGACAGCCTCACAGGGTTTTCTTGGCTGTAATCTTTATGGAAGCAGATTGCCAGGTCTTTCTCCCGCAGAGTCATGTTGATGAGTTTGAATCACCAATTTTTCAGTTAGCAGCCAAGCTCTAGTGTCCTGGAAATTTCCTGGACAGTACTCAGCATTCAATTCCCATCTGAGTTACAGTTACTGAATTCCATCAAATCCCTTGATCTCTCTGAGTCCTAAGACCCTCATTTATAAAACAAAGTTATGGGACTGCAGTGTTCCCTTAGCTTCTCCAATGATAAGAAGAAGCTGAGGTGCTTATGCTTATCAAATCACTGCTTCCTATACCCCTTCCCTGGACATTCTGATTCAATGGGTGTTGGATAGGGCCACAGATTTTTTAGTCTTAAAGGTATCCCAGGTGATTCTTATCTTCAGAAAAGTTTGAGAAATTAGATGTTCTCTATGGTCCTTTCAACATTCTATAAAATGTTATTTTGACTCTATTGATGGTATTAATATAATTTTGCAATTATACAGAGCCTTCCCTCATTGACAGCAGAATGACTAATAACCTTGCAATATGCCTAGGAGATGATACATTTCTTAACGAAAGATTATAATTAAGCTCTCCTCTTACACACACAAAAAATCCACGTAAAAATCATCACTAAATATCTGCATCTCTCTGCAAGAAACGAGGCAAAATCCATGGTATCTGGGGAGAAAATGAATCATGCTTAGTTTATCCTAATTCTTACTGCTTTTAGATATTTAATAAGGAGAGTTATACACATAGGAATAATGCTGCTTTCAAGGCAAGGATCAAAGGCCAATCTGAATGTGAGCAGGACTAATGACCCCCTAACAGCATTATGCCTCGCCTCACACACTTTTATTCTTTGGCCAAAGAGCCATGTAAGGAGATTATGCAGAAATAAGTAAAGAAGCTAATGAAATAGCTACTGTAGGTATGAAGATCTAAAGACTGTAGTCTGGCATAGCAAATGAACCATGGCTGCCTCTAATAGGTTAGCAGCACTCCTGCGAAGAAAGCAGCAAGCTCGTGTCGATGGGAATATGTACTGGCCCCATCTTTGACTGAGAGATGTCTAGGGTGGGGCAGAGCACGTTCCTGCTCAAAGCAAGATGAAGCTTGCCAAGACCTTGTAGTCAGAATGTGAATCAAGGGGGCTCTCCAGTAGGGAATAAAAGCAGAACAAGTGATGGTCTGGCAGAGATAATTATTTTCAGAGCTTAAAGTCATTGGGAATCATATATTTTTCAAGAAAAGATTTTAGCTCAGAAATACCAGAGCATGTATTAGAGAATAGAAATTTTCACTTTTCATACTCTGCTTGGTATTTCTTTAGATGCTCAGACTGAAGATGTATTTCTAGGTGGGAGAAAAGGACTGTTTTCATCACTGCGTGCAGTGTTGCTTACTGAGTCCGGGTCAGTGCTACACCTAATTTTAGGTCCTGGGTATCAGAGTCCCTGGGTGGTGCAAATGGTTAATGTGCTCGGCTGCTAACCAAAAGGTTGGAGGTTGGAGCCCGCCCAAAGGAGCCTCAGAAGAAAGGCATGGCGGTCTATTTCTGAAAGAAAATCAGTCATTGAAAACCCTATGAAGCACAGTTCTTCCCTAATATACATGGGGTTGCCATGAATTAGAATTGATTTGATGGCAACTGAAAGAAAGAAGAGTATCAGACACTGCATTGTCCAATCTGGCAGCACTAACCCCAGGTGGCTATTAAGCACTTGAAATGTGACTTTTCGAATTAGGTTTGTAAAATACTCATCAATTTTGAAGACTTAATATGAAAAAACTTGTAAAATAGCTCATTGATAATCATTTATATTTATTACAAGCTGAAATGACAATATTTTGGACATAATGGGTAGAATAAAATGTATTATTAAAATTGGTTTTATTTTTTAACATGATTACTAGAAAATTTAAAATTACATATGTGGTTTGCTTAATACTTCTATTGAACAGTGCTGATCTAACATACTGTTGAGATTCAGATATTTATTATGATTGTACAGCCAGTGGGAGGCAGTATAGCACAGTGGTTAAGAAAATGGGCTACAAGCCAGACTGCCTGAGCTTCCGACCAACTCTGGCACTTAATTGCTACAAGACCTAGAAAATTATTTAACCTCTCTATGCCTCAGTTAAGGAGCCCTGGTGGCTCAATGGCTCAGCACTCAGCTGCTAACCCAAAGGTTGGTGATTCAAACCCACCAGCAGCTCTGTGGGCCAGAAGACCTGGCAGTCTGCTCCCATACAGATTACAGCCTAGGAAACCCTATGGGGCAGTTCTGCTCTGTCCTACAGGGTCGCTATGAGTTGAAATCAACTCAATGGCACACAACAACAACATGCCTCAGTTAATCTACCTGTGAAACAGAAATAATAGCAGTATCTGCTTTATATGGTTGTTGAAGGTATTAAACAAATTAATATATGTAAAACATATAGAACAATACATGGCATATGCTATTAGTAAGGACTCAACAAATGAGAACTGCTATTCTTATATTACTATTACTACAGTAAATATACCCTTTCCCCTTTTCTACCCTCAAGACCTCAAGTACCTGCAACCTCCAAGTTGGAGCCCATGGTGTGACATCCACACACTGCTTGTGGCCTCCTGGCCAGGAAGGTTCCCCAGCTATCATTCCTTGATTCTCATTGCAGCTCTAATTCTCTGAAAGTCCCTCTAGATATAAGAGAGATGAGCGAAGCTCTAAGTCCACAAGTGCCCTGGTGGTGACTCTGCATGGTTCCCTTTTAGTTTTCCTGGAGGACCCTGGGGATCATTAACCGCCCCCTCGCTCTCCCCATTTCTCATTTTGCCTCTTTTCAACCCTTGTTTCCAACTGGTCACCTTGGGATTCTCTGGTCTTAAAGCTGTGAGAGGGGAAGGCTATAGACTCCTGGGGGACAAGTCCAGGCTTACTCAGGAATGTTAACTTTTGTTGGAAAAGAAGCATCCTTGTATCTATCAGGTGACTCCTATTAAACCTCAGGGAGGTGATTTCCTAAGACAAAGCATAAAAAATAAAAATAAAAATAAAAATAACCTGTTGCCGATGAGTTAATTCTGATTAATAGAGACCCTATTAGAATAGAACAGAACTGCACCATAGTTTTCAAGCAGTGGCTGGTGGACTCGAACTACCCCGACCTTTTTGTTAGTAGCCAAGCTCTTAACCACTGTGCCACCAGGGCTCCAAGACAAAAGCATAAGGATAATAAAAAAGATGTCAGGGCATCTGAGTGTGCTCTGAAAGACTGCATGTTGATGTGCCACTAATACTGTGTGGAAGAACAAAAACAACAGCTCAGTAATGAAGCGGCATTTACCAAAGGCAGGCATGCTTCATCGTGGAAAAATATCAAACCAGCAAGTTTGTTTTTGTTGTTTGAAACAAGTTTTTCCAATAAAATCAATATTATAAGGAACAGCTTTGATTTCAAGGTAACTTGCTAAAGCCACTATCAGTCACAAACAGGGGGTAGAGTTGAAGAATTTGACTTTATAAAGCAGATAACGAGGAGGTCTTTTTTGTATTATAAGAGATTGTTCCTTGTACAGCAGAGTCACCTTATGTTTCCTTAGTAATGCATTTTTCTATGCATTTCAAAGAAGTCCATTTACATGAGAATTTTCAAGAGCAAGTCTCCAGGTGCACTCTGCCCACCTAAGCTTCAAGGCCACATTCACAGTCATCCTTGAGTTTTTTGTATTGTGCTGACCTCTACCTCTCCCTGGCCCTCGGCTCTGCAATGTGATATTTAAAAAGCAAAGAGGTCACTTTGAGGACTAAGGTGCGCCTGATTCAAGCCATGGTATTTTCAATCGCCTCATACACATGTGAAAGCTGGACAATGAATAAGGTAGACCAAAGAAGAATTGGTGCATTTAAATTATGGTGTTGGCAAAGAATATTGAATATACCCAGGACTGCCAGAAGAAGGAACAAATCTGTCTTGGAAGAAGTACAGCCAGAATGTTCCACAGAAGCGAGGATAGCAAGACTTCGTCTCATGTACTTTGGACATGTTAACAGGAGGGACCAGTCCCTGGAGAAGGACATCATGCTTGGTAAAGTAGAAGGTCGGTGAAAAAGAAGAAGACCGTCAACGAGATGGATCGACACAGTGTCTGCAACAATGGGCTCAAACACAGCAATGATTGTGAGGACCGTGCAGGACTGGACAGTGTTTTGTTTTGTTCTGCACGGGGTTGCTATGAGTCCGAATCGACTTGAAGGCACCTAATAACAACAAGTTTTCTTCGTTGGTTTATAATGTCTTTTTGGTTACCTTAGTATTGCTTTGGTTTTCACATTCCTTGTATTTTACACTCATAAGAGTTATCAATTTGATACCCTTGGTTTCAAATTCAGGACCCAATATTTTGTCAGCACATTGATACTCAAGCACACACACCAAAACACACCTGTCTAAGACACCTGCCTTACTGCTATTGTCTAGGACAGAATTTAGGCTCTAAGCTTTTGGGGGAAGTAGAAGTTTACTGACAAGATCGGCTGAGGTCTGATTTAATGCAGCTGTCATTTTTCCGGGAAAAGTTTAAACCAAAAAAAAAAAAAACAAAAACAAAACCTGGTGCCATCGAGTCGATTCTGACTCACAGCGACCCTATAGTACAGAGTAGAACTGCCCCACAGAGTTTCCGAGGAGTGCCTGGTAGATTCAAACTGCCAACCTTTATGGCTAACAGCCATAGCACTTAACCATTACGCCACCAGGGTTTCCAGAAAAGGTTTAAAGGACACATCATTTAAGGGGCAGAAAAGGTGAGGCAACTGTATCTGAGAAAGCAGCCAAAGCTGTTAGGGCAGAGATGCTCAAACAGGGGTCTTGAGACCATCTGTATCAGAGTCACTTGGGGTAGTTCTTTAAAATGCAGAGTCTAGACCACACATCGGGTCTACGGACTTAGAATGTAGGCATTTTTTTTTTAAAAAAACAAGCTCCCCAGGTGAGTGTGATGGCAACTAAAATTTGAGAACTTCTAAATAAAAGCGTCTTCGCCACTATTTTCTTCCCCGCCCAATATAAACTTATCTCTCCTCTTCCCTGAATAAGAGATTGATTTTTATTTGAGGACTTCCTGAGTCCCAAGCAGACTCCATGAGGTGGCATGGATGAAAATTTGCAGAGGCAATCGGCTCTTTGACATCCTTTATAGATCACATCCTTCCTCACTTGCTGATCAATGTCTTTTCTGATTCAGCATCACCACGTAATAACCTATCACTGTAGGTTATACACTGCCACGTTTTACATGCATTATTCCACTTAATCCTTCAGTCAACTCCTAGTAGAAAGTATTGTTTTCCCTGTTTAACAGACGAAGAAATAGAGACTCCAGGAGGCAAGTGTCTTCCAAAATGTCAAATAGCTATTAAATGGTGAAGTAGGATTTGAACTAGGTCTGCCTGATTCAAAACTTATTCTCTTTAACTGCTGTGCTTCTCCTTGACAGCCTTTCCTAAAGATAGTCCCTTTACTTGCATTTCATTTAATCAGGTCACCTTTCTACAATTCATCAGCCAAGATGAATTGATGGGAGATGATGATTGGTGCAAACACAACGCATCTTGTTATCTGATCTTATTTAGAGACACTGGAAAATATCAAACCTTTTAACAGGTGGAGCCCTGGTGGTGTACTGGTTAAGAGTTCAGCTGCAAACCAAAAGGTTGGCAGTTCAGATCCACCAGCTGTTCCTTGGAAACCCTATGGAGCAGTTCTACCCTGTCCTGTAGGGTTGCTATGAGTTGGAATTGACCTGACAGCAATGGTTTTTTTTTCCTTTTCAGTGCTTGAGAAAGTAGAGGTACTCCATCAAAAATCTGGAAATGTTTTCCTTGGCAAGCTACACAAAGTGCCTTTCCGATTGTTTTCTCCTCTCCTGTGTAGTATCACTTTCCATTGACAGTGGAAAATAAACCACCCACCTTTCTCGTTGATGCTGTGAATGATGGTTTTCCCCTCGTTATCTGTAGTTATTAGGAATGTAATGAGACATTCATTTTCTCCTTGCAGAGAGCAGGAAACAGCACTATCCTTTGAGAAATCTGCAGATAAAGGAGTCATTCACTAGGTTAAATGAGATTCCAACAGAGATTATTTTTTAAAGCAAAGTTGTATTGCGTGTTAATATGCATATGGGGATTTTCAACATTGCAGAATAGGATTAGAAAAGGCATAGGATGTTTCCCACAAAGTGAGGTTTTAGTTTTTACTCATGTTCCAGAAGAACAGTTCCAGGTGTGGTCAATCAGGACTGACCATCAAATGCACCTATCAAACTGATGGGGGCAGGATTTCAAGAGTGAAAGTACTTTAAGGCAGGTCCCAGCAGCTGCCTCGGGAATACAATAGTCCTGATTATGGTAGGGGAGTGGGGGCTATACGTTCTACTCTGAGAACATCTGGGAGGACGCCTAGATTACATTTCAGAAAGAGACTACAAAGTCCAAGCTGACACTAATACTCTTAAAGGGGTCTTTTCTACAATGGCATAGTCAAGATTGCTGGTCATGTATTGTCACAAAGGTAAATATAAATTATTATCAGGAAACTGATATTAAACTGTTATGTGGCTCAGTGACCACAGAATAAAAATAAAGCTCAGATTACTATGAACTCAGGAGGAGAGTTTGCCCACCATTCATTATAGTCCTTTTCATAAATTTGCAAAAACATCATCCAATTTTCCTCAAATCTTTTCCAAACAGAAACATTTTCTTGTTGAGTTTATTCAAGAGGCAAAAACTGAATGTCACGACAGAAAGTAGAAATAAAGTAACATTGTCAATCTGAACTATTAGGACTATTTATCAGAAATTCTAGTGGTTCAGCTCCTATGCCAAAATCACGTAGCATTTTCCTAATTTAAAAAATCTTAACAGTTCTCCTAATTTCTAAGTTGAAGACTTTTTAATGTAACGATACTGTTACATACTGTTTTTCAGAAATCTGTAACTAGAATGATCATTTGTTCTTAACCTGAAATTTTAAGACATATGGTCCAACATGAGCATGTTATGGTGCAATGGGGTCAGAATATTCAAACTAGGACTGTCCCATATAAACTTGGACATACACTTGCTACATCTACAACCTCTCTAATTAGCTTAAGAATAAAGAAGATTGTAATAAAACAGAGTTTTCATGTGTTTCTCTGATTCTAATGAAGAAAAATTAAATAACAGGCTACTTTTGGTACAAAAATACCATGGCCATAGAAAGAAATATTAAGTTGTATTTGCATTTAATATATAAGATTAAATTGCATTTAATATATAAAGCTTATGACAGTCTGTGAGATGTTTTGTATTATCTATGAAAAAAGGGACTAGTAAAACATTGAGCAGTATAAATAAGATTTATGATGAAAGTTTTAAATTATCCAACTATTTTTGAGCCTATTAACCAAAAAAAAAAAAAAAAATCAGTTTCTGTGGAGTCGATTCCCACCCCCACGTGTTTAAGAGTGGAGCTTCATTCCGTAGGGTTTTCAATGGAACCTTTCAGAAGATCTTTCAGAAGTAGATAGCCAGGTCTTTCTTCTGGGTGACCCCATTAGAGGTATCTATTTACACAGGAATGTTTGGAATTCTAGTTAGAAATCATTCTCATTTGGTCATTCCCAAATGTTTATGATCATCTAATTGACCTGGGAGTCAATACACAGATTCTGGGGATTCTCCCCTGGGTATTCTGATTTGAGAGGTCAGTGGTATGCAGAGGAACTCATGCTTTTAATAGTTGCTTAATAAGTATTTTTATAAGGTGATTCTGATTAAGAGGTTTGGGAACCTCTGGAAAACACCTGATTTTTGCATTACTTGAAATTTGTATTATTTCATATGTTCGATAGCAATAACACTACATATATAACTCATACTTTGGGTCATTTTTAGATGGACTTCACGACATCCCCTCCTGCCCCACTGTTCCAGTTAACTACGATTCACGAATTTCTTGGGAATATGCTTTTTCTTGTTGGAGTGTTTTTCTTCCCTCTGTCTCCATGACAGAGCTGGTGGTGCACACCCACTCTGTTCCTCTCGAATGTTCTTAATGGAACATTTGACTCTCAGGTAGAAAATACGTGGACTGCTTATAATACTCCTTTCAGATGTAATATTAATCCTGCTTTTTTATTTTCTCTTAAGTAGCTGCACTGAAGCAGAAGGAGGCTTAATTACTTGGCCGAGATTATTTAAGTTTTAATGGAACTGCTAATATGACCTTTGAGTCATGACTCCTATCTTGCTTTAATTACTTCACCACTCCTTTTCATTAATGTTACAACTCTAGATGTAGCCTGTTTTGTAGTGTTTGGGTATTGAAATGGTATTATTGAATGTGCAGTGAAAGGGTCCAGCTTGGGCTGCAGATTTGCATAATTAGCTACTAAGTTTTTCTTTCGTTGTTTGTAAAAAAATGGACCATTCTTTCTTACCCACGGTTGTGACTGCCAGCAGTGCTGTTCTAGAATAATACATTGAAAATAAGATCTCAGGCGTTCCATGAAATCATACTTAGAGAAGGAAGAAATGTGAGAATAGGGGTGAGGTGGCTGGGGTCTAGGAAGGTCTGGAGACGATGTGGAAAACAGAAACCTTCTGTGCCATTGCATCAAGATAATCATGTATTTGAGACCTCAGCTCTGGGGCCGAGTCAGCAGTTCTCAAAGAAAACAGTTTCTCAAGAAAAAAAAACAATAATTCTGGGGTCAGATAAATTTGGGAATCCCTTCTAATTCTTCCCCTTGCCTTTCTTGAAGATTCACAGTATACATTTAATTTAACGTGCATAACAACTTTCAGAAGTTCTGTAAAGAAAAAACAAACCCTCACTTTCCCATTTCCAAAATTCATATGACAATGGGTTTTTTTTTCCTTTCACGTTTAGCACTTTAAGAACTAGTGTTCCACAGGACACATTTTGAGTAACTATGCTCTGAGTCCATGAATTGAATTAAAAACATGTCTTTTTTAGTAAAATAGAATGAATAAGGTTAAACCACATGCCATCAGATGTGCCACACAAGACACCACAGCTCAACTGAGGAACAATTATACAGATTATAAAGTTATGATTATTGAACTATTTTACTCTCCATGTCTTTGTGGAAAGGTGAGATGCTAAAAGACCCTCTGAAAGAGCAAATATGTTGTGATAATTTCAAGGTGATGTGATCAATAACATAACTGGGCAAGTAACTTCAAAATAGAATTTATAAAAAGACTCATTAGAAAAATGACTTTTAATTCATAGGCTGACAAATATATTTTTATCTCTAATTCAACCAGATTAGTAATTTAAATAGTATTAGTAATCTAGTTATTATTTTCAATTTCGAGATAAAAATAGTTGTATCCTCCTATTTTGAAAATGATTTAGTCAATTACATAAAAGAATAATGTAAACATTTTAAATGCCACTTGAGACCTAGTCTCTCCTTTGAAATTCAAGTATTTAAGATATTGTACTCAGAAAATTGTGTACTTAAACACAGTAAGCTCCCTCTCTCATGGCATCATAATTTACATGTTCCAAAAAAGGATTTAGGCCTTTTTTCCCGCAGCCCATTAGATGTCCCATGTTTCTAGTGAGTTGAATTCTGATAATTTGCAGGCATTTTCTGCATTTTTACTCATTTCTTAGAAATGCCTGGTAAACACCCCAACTGTTTGCTATGCATTGAACTCAGAGAGTATGGCAAGACTTGTATTAGTTACTAATGTGGACAGACCACAAATGCCACCTTACTTAGTGCTTTTAATACATCTTACCTTCAGTCTTAGTGTAAGTTACACACCATCTTGTCCAATTTACTGCCATTTGGCATATTTACTGTGAGCAGCAGAAAAGCATAGACGGGGGGTTTTATGAGCAGTAACCATGCCCCTCCAATAGGATTATTCAACTGTGCACAGTCAGAAATCTCAATTCTGAAACAATGTAAATAATTTTCAAAACAATATAAATGTCACTAACTTATTCCATTTTGGAAATGGATTAATTTCTGTGTTCTAATTCTGTCTATCTAAGATACATATCCTAGAGCGTCATAAATTACTGTCTTGATTATTTCAGTTCGCCTGAGAGATATCTTGGTTGCGTCTCTAATGCCTGCCAAGCAGCAGTTCTACCGGAGCAGCATGATGATGCAGGGAGTTTGTGATTAGAGAAAAACATCCCCCAGATGGTCCCTTCACGAAGAGCCAGTCATCGTCTTTGTTTTAAAGTTCACAAGTTATTTTTTAAATGGCCTTTCCAGCTAAAATACAATCTATTTTAATATCTGAGATGACATTTTACCATTAGAAAGAATCAGATTTTAAGTAATTAAGTTTAAAATGACAGATAAAAGCAGGAGCAGAGTTTGCTTAGCAATTAAAGATAACATGCCCTTCTTGTATTTTGGGGGTGGGACAACAAGGAGGTGAGGATGATCATGAAATGCTCTGTGTTTGGAAGGTTGGGAGTAAAAAATGTGTGGAAGGATGGGAGGGAAAATGGCTGCTAGCTGCTGAACTGCTAGCTGCAGAAACTGCCCAGTATCTGATATATATATATAGAGAGAGAGATTTATATCTATCTGTCTATGTTTTTTGGTCGTATCTTGAAATAAGGTATCATGGATTGAATTACGTCCCCCCAGAAAATGTGTGTATCAATTTGGCTAGACCATGATTCCCAGTATTCTGTGGTTGTCCTCCATTTTGTGATTGTAATTTTACATTAAAGAGGATTAGGGTGGGATCGTAACACCACCCTTAGCCAGGTCACATCCCTGATCCAATGTAAAAGGAGTTTCCCTGGGGTGTGGCCTGCACCACTTTTTATCTCTCGAGAGGTAAAAGGAAAGGGAAGCAAGCAGAGAGTTGGGGACCTCATACCTTCAAGAAAGCAGTACTGAGAGCAGAGTGTGTCCTTTGGACCCAGGGTCCCTGCACGGAGAAGCTCCTAGTCCGGTGGAGCATTGATGAGAAGGCCAACAGAGAGAGAAAGCCTTCCCCTGGAGCTGACGCCCTGAATTTGGACTTCTAGCCTACTAGACCGTGAGAAAATAAATTTCTCTTTGTTAAAGCTATCTACCTGTGGTATTCCTGTTAGAGCAGTACTAGAAGACTAAGACATAAGGCAATCAGATGACAGAGTATGATTTCAAGTTTAAGGCTTAACATTTAGCTATTTCTTCAACTTTCTTCCTTTGTAGCTCAAAAAATTCAGTATTCTGGAGTTCTCTACAATTGCATTTGTTAAGCAGAGGTGAACTTGGCAACAGAGCTGAAGTCAGATTGAATAACCATGACTTTAAATTGTACTCCAAAGCATCGAGTGTTAGCCTCATGAAATTCACTCTTAATAACTACCGTGAGTAAGCTAAAGCCCTGTTACAAACTAGGTCAAGCTATTGAAAAGCCCTTAATTCCCAGAGTTTTTTGTTTTTTTTTTTTTTCCCTCTCAAGAACTATGTAAAATAAATGAAAGCAATTTAAGACAAGTAGAAACCTTCTCCTTCACTGATGGTCACACCAGCTAGTTTGCATTTGTCAACACATTCTTCTTGGGACTGGCCATCTGCAGACAAGTGGCATTCAATACAGCTCCTGTGAACATTATTCAACAGAGTTTATCAGTTCATGTTGGTGGAAAATGGATATGCAGGTTGGGATACTGCTTTAATGCTGTCATTGTGAGCCACACTATAGCAGTGTCTAATAGGTAGCATTACCTTTTGTTACCTTTAGCAAGATGGTTGGGTGATGTCCTAGATGAAATGGCTTTATTTTTAATTTCACTCCATAATTGATATGTATGTTCCCTAAACCAGCCTTAGTAATAACTACTTTCTATTTATCTGTAATGACTGCTTGTGATTGGATAAGTAAAACCTGTTTTTGGTTTTTGATTTAGCTGTGTTTTCATTTAACTTTTTTCCTAGAGTGAGTTTATACTGCTAAAATAGGGTTAGAAACATATGTCAAAAATGATTATTTTAAAAATTCACCTTTGAATAATTCTTTTGGATGAATCCAAGCCATAATAGTGGTATTTTTAAAAGCTGAAGATCACAGCCTTCATCTTTAATAATGCAGGCTTTTTAATAAAAAATAAAATAATAACAAAAAGTAAAATTTGGACCCCAAATTAATCTTTTCCTAAAAGTCACTTTACAAATAACCCTGAACAACAGAAGTTTTCTTAAGGAGGACACATCCTGCAGCCTCTCTCACTCTGGCCATGGGATGTACACTCTTTCAAGTGCTTGTAACACACCCACCCCTCATCAAGTCTCAGCTGAAACTGCACTTCCTCAGGCAAGCCTTCTCCAACCCTTAGATCAGTTAATTCCTTTGCAGTGGAAGCCTCAGAATTCTTCTACAGGAAGGGCTTAGGAACAGCCATCTATTTAGGGGTGGGAATAGAGGACTAGAATATGCATTCATCTAGATTATATATTTATTTGGAGTGGCTTTGCCGGGGGTTGGTGGAGACGGTAAAACACTAAGACCCTTTACCCCTTTGTGCATCATCACTGATGGCTACACCAGCTAGTTTGGTAGTGCTGTTTTCTGCATGGAAATCCTGATGGTGCAGTGGTTAAGCACCACGGCTGCTAACCAAAAGATCAGCAGTTTGAATTCACCAGGCACTCCTTGGAAACTGCACGGGGCAGTTCTACTCTATCCTATAGGTTTGCTATGAGTCGCAATCGACTCAATGGCAATAGGCATTCTCTGCAATATAATTTCATAAAACAAAAAACAAGCCTGTTGCCATCGAGTCGATTCCAACTCATGATGACCCCATGTGTTACAGGGTAGAACTGTACTTCATAGGGTTTTCTTTGCTGTAATCTTTATGGAAGCAGATCACCAGGACTTTCTTCTGTGGTGCTGCTGGATGGGTTCAAACCACCAACCTTTCGATTAGTAGCCGATTGCTAACCACTTGTGCCACTCAGGGCGTTATGTTGTTGTTAGTTGCCCTTGAGTTGATTCCAACTCATGGCAACCCCACATGCGCAGAGTAGAACTGCTCCATAGGGTTTTCAAGGCCGTGACCTTTTGGAAGTAGATTGCCAGGCCTGTCTTCTGAGGAGCCTCTGGGTGGGTTAGAAACTCCAGCCTTTTGGCTAGTAGCCAAGTGGTTAACACTTGGTGCCACCCAGGGATTCCCCAAGACCTGATACCCATTGCTGTGGAGTAGATTCTGACTTATGGCCATTCTACAGGACAGAGGAGAACCGCCGTATAGAGTAATGTTTATGGAAGCAGACTGGCACATCCTTCTTCCGCAGAGTGGCTGGTGGGTTCAAACCACCAACCTTTCAGTTAACAGCCCAGCACTTTAACCACCGCACCACCACGGCTCCTTCAGGGCCCAATGCCAATTGCCTTTGAGTGGATTCTGACTCATAGTGACAGAGTAGAACTGCCCCATAGGGTTTCCAAGACTGTAGTCTTTACAGAAGCTGACTGCCACATCTTGTCTCCGGCAGAGTAGGTTCGAACTGCCGACTTTTTGGTTAGCAGCTGAGTGCTTATCCACTGCACCACCAAGGCTCCTCTAGGGCCCACTGCCGTCCAGCCGGTTTTGACCCATAGTGACCCTATATAGATAGAGTAGAACTGCCACATAGGGTTTCCAAGGTGCGGCTGGTGGTTTCCAACTACTGACCTTTTGGTTAACAGCTGTAGCACTTAACCACTGTGCCACCAGGGCTTCTAGGGCACTATAGCACCCTTTATATCCCCTATTGTAACTGTCAACCCAGATATCATTGTAATTATCTTGGTAAATGTCTGTCTTTCACACTAGACTCTTAGTACCTGGTAAAGTTAGGAACTATATCTGTTTCAGCCATCACTGCAAGCCCATGGCCTAACGCTATTCCTGGCATATAGAAGGTGCTCAATACAAAACCACACCAAACCCGTTGCTGTTGAGTTGATTTTGACTCATAGTGACCCTATAGGACAGAGTAGAACTGTGACATAGGGTTTCCGAGGCCATAATCTTTACGACAAGCCCTGGTGGCACAGTGGTTAAGAGCACAGCTGCTAACCAGAAGGTCAGCAGTTTGAATCCACCAGCCACTCCTTGTAAACCTGGGTCACAATCAACTCAAAGTCAATGGATCAATCTTCATGGACTACCAACCTTTCGGTTAGCAGCTGAGTGTTTAACCACTATACCACCAGGGCCCCGTGAATACCCATTGGATAAATGAATGCAAGAGTGAATAAATGTAAGAATGGACTTATCTCAAAACTAACAAACACCAAGAAGATCATTCTATTTGATTCCTCAAATTCAAACTCCCTTGATTGTTAATTTTGTATTTCATAAGTCAGATTTAAGATCAAATCAAGCTTACATGGAAGATAAAATAAAAAAATAACAGAAGAAACAAATCTTGAAAGGACATTTGATATTAAATTATGTTCAAATAATTCTAACCATGTCCCCACTCTTCTCTTGGCATATGTCTTAGTTTGCCAGGTTACAGTGATAGAAAAATCTTGACACTTGAATGCTATGTGTCCACTGAGTGAATGATGATTTTCTCATTCTGTTTATATCAGAAATGCAAATGTCACCATTTTGAGTTTCAGAATTAATGAAAATATGAACTGCTTAAGCCTATTTGCTACATGACAAATACATTACATAACAATGTAATATCGTAACACAGCCAATTTGGAAAGTTGCTTGACTTGACCTACAAATTTCCCCCAATTCCATTAAGAAGCTAGCTGCCAGCCAGAGACATAATTTCCTTATTAGAAAACAGGAACATGTGTTTTTGTTGTTGTTCATACGGTATAAAAGAAAACACAATACACAATAATAGCTGTGTATAATGACAACTGAAGTAAAGCGCCAAAGAGCATGGGTGGTAAAAAGGGAGGGAATTGAAAGCCAAGATCATCTTTCTGCCTCTTTGCTTCCATGGGTCTATAGATAGGAAAGAATCAGTAAGGTCAGACTAAAAACTTCTAGATAAGAAAGAAGCTTGTCTGTTTCCCTTGAAAAGTCCTGATTGCATGTGGGTGTAGTCAGTCTACCTCCAGGGCATTCCTTACGTGTGGCTGGTATTGTAACCCAGAGTCAATCTGATGCTATCAGTGTGGGACATCAGCTCAACTTCCCCATGATGGACTCTCCCAGAAATGTGACATTGTGGGCCTGGAGAATCAGGATGGAGAAAGAGGCAAGTGACAGGCTGACATTCCAGGCTGAGGATCACAGGGGCCCTGTGAGTTTGTTTGTTTTAATGGCTGCTTGGAAAGCCAGCCCCAGCGAAAATAATCTGAGGTCTGAGTTTCTAAAATGCCTTTATAATTTTGAAGTGAAAACTGCTGACAAAAGGGACTGAAGAAAGGGGAGACATTACCGTTTAGAGTTACAGGGGTCCCCACAGGTAGGACATCGTTCACAGGTTGGCCCTGAGGCCCCAGGGTTTGTGCACATGCACTTGCCGCAGACGCAGTCCCCTCGCCCGCTGCAGAGCACACCGTCCTCAGAAACGCACGAGTCTGTGCTGGCTGTGCAGTTACAGTACTCGCCCGTCCAGCCGCTCCTGCACACACATTCACCACAGTCACAGTCACCGTTATCTGCAAAACAAAACACTCTTGCTTCTTATGGCCGAAACCGCTGGTGGATTTTTGGGGCCATCTTTTTTTCTTTGCCTTTAAACATCATCAAAAAGACTGAAGACAAAAAGATAATAAACAGTGATTGTGTGTGTGTGTATGTGTGTGTGCTGGTGGGTGATCATAGACAAGCTTTATGAAATGTATATTGCTAGCTATGAATTTATCAATCTTGTCTCTTAATTGAAGAGTAACTTGATGACCTGAGGTTAGAGCAAACAAAATTTGTGACCAAATGAAATAAGATAATCCAGAAAGCCTATAATAACTATTTGATAGTCGGAATCGACTCGACGGCACGTAATGACAACAATGTGTGTACATATGTGTGTGTACATATGTATGTATATATACACACATGCATGCATGTATTAGAGAGCCCTGGTGGCAGAGTGGTTAAGGGTTTGGCCTTAACCAAAAGGTTGGCAATTTGAATCCACCAGCCGCTCCTTGGAAACCCTATGGGGCAGTTCTACTCTGTCCTGTAGCATCGCTGTGAGTTGTAATCAACTCGACAGCAACGGTTTTTTTTATATATACACATATGTTTTAATGAATTGCAGTGCCATAGGGTAGAGTTGCTGGGCAGACCGACATTAATATCCTACCTCTATATCACTCAATTAATCTTGAAAGCCTCATCTACAAAATAAAGGAAATAAAATCTATTTCCAACAGCTGTGGTCAGGATTAGATGAGATGATGTGTAAAAGTCCCAACTTTGCGTTGACCAGTTAGATGTTCCACAGGGATCTCATTTATTTCACAAAATTTAATTGAACATATATCATGGGCAAAGATGTATTGAGCACAAGGATAAAAAGTTAAATGAAGCCAGATTTCTGAGCTTCTGGTCTAGTGTAAAAGACAGGCAAATAAATCATAATTTAAAAGCTATAATATAATGTGATAAGTGCTATACATACAGGGGAAGAGTTTCTAAATTAGACTGGAGATTTAGGAAAGTTCTCAGAGAAAGTGATGCTTGAACTGAATTTGGGAGATAAAGAGAGAAGATAGTTGGAAGTAGAGGCTTACGTGTGTTTCAAGGAAAAGAAAAAAATTGGTAAAGCACGGAAGTGTGTAATCATGTGACCTGCTTAAATAACCATAGTAGTTTCATATGGATAGTCCCAAAGGTGCCTATGGGGTGTGGCAGGAAGGGAAGGTGAAAGGTCAACAAAAAGTCAGAAATCAGATCATGAAAAGCCTTATGAGCTAAGGTAAAAACTTTTATTCTGAAAGCCATGGGATTTTAAGTAGGGGAGAGACGTAATCAGATAGATATATGTCTATAAAAATCCTGGCATCAGAAGAGAGGGTAAATTAGAGGAAGGCCAAACTGGAGTCAGGAAAACCAGTTAGGTAGATTCAGAAAGATATGAGACCCTGAACCATGGCAGGGGCAGTGGGAATGGAGAGAAAAGAGTATGCAATTCAGGGATGGAATGCTCAGGGTGTGGGTGTGACGGGTACTAGGTTGGAGGGTGAGGGGAAGAGAGAGAGAGATGGAATCCTCCCGGGTGAATAGCCTGGACAGCTAAATGGATGGTATGACTGTCCACTGACCTGGAATGGAAGCTAGCTCATGGTCACTGCCGTATCCTCAATGCCTAGCACAGGGTAGTGCTTGATGAATATTTGTTGAATAAATAAATGGTTACAAAACAGAGAAGGAAAAGTAGCTTTGGGTGGGGAAGATAATGAGTTCATTTTTGGCTCTGATGAGTTTGAGGAGCCTGTGAGACATCCTACTAGGAGGGTGAATATATAGGCCTGAAGTTTAGTGACACATTGTCATGGATTGACTGTGAGAGAATAAACTTCTCTTTGTTAAAGTCATCCACTTGTGGTGTTTCTGTTACAGCAGCACTAGATGACTAAGACAGAATTTGATACCAAGAGAGTGGGGTGCTGCTCTAACAGATACCCAAAATGTAGAAGTAGTTTTGAAACTGTGAACGGATAAAGGAATGGCAGTGGCAGAGGACCAGCAACAGCAGAGAACCGGAAACGGCAGAGAAGTGGCAGTGAACTGGCAGTAGCAGAACCAGGGGACCAGCACCAGAAGGCACTGGAGCTGACCCACGGAGCGAGAAAGCTGAATGCATGTGCATAAGAGGCTTCCTGGTGGAGCAGGGTGCCTCCAGGCACTTATCAGTGGAGCTACTCTTGCCAACCCATGGAGCAAGAGAGCTGAATGCCTGTGCACAGGAGGCTTCCTGGTGGAGTGGGGTGCCTCCAGGCACTTACTGGTGGAGCCACAGAGCTTTGGAACACTTGCCCCAGCAGGGCAGATGCAGATGTGAGGTCTGAGGGCTAAGAGGCCACAGGAGGCAGAAGCTGAAGAGACAAGGAACACAAAAAGCAGAGCTGCCTCAGTCTCAAAAGGTATGGCCAGGACCTCAGAGGTTTCAAAGGGTGGGGCCATGGCCTCTGGTGTCTCTAAGGATGGAGTTGTCACTCTGATGGACTAGGAGAGTGGTGTATCTAAAGCTGAGGGAGCAGATTTGCCATCCCAGTGAACCTGGAAGGCAGAGATGGGGGGCCTCCACTCAGAATCTGGAGAGTATAGCCAATACCTAGAGTCTGGAAGGCAGGGCCATTGTGTAAACTGTCTCAGAGAACAGAGGATTATTTTCAAAGCCTTGAGGGCTAATGTAATGTGTTCTGCGGACTTGCTTGGTGTCTGTTATCCCTTCTTCTCCTCTAGTTTCTCCCATTTGTAATGGAAATGTCTAGCTTGTGCCTGTTCTGCCATTGTACCTTTGGAAGCAGATAACTTGTATTCTAGATTTCACAGATGAAGAGGAATTTTTGGATTTTGGACTTGGAGTTGAAACTTATGCTGTGATATGATGAGATGAATATATTTTGCATGTTCCAAGGACATGAATTTGGGGGGGCCAAAGGGTGGAGTGTCATGGATTGAATTGTGTCCCCAAAAAATATCTGTCAACTTGGCTGGGTCATGATTCCCACTATTGTATAATTGTGTACCATTTTGTAATCTGATGTGATTTCCTTATGTGTTGTAAATTCAATCACTATGATCTGATCAGATGGATTAGCGGCAGTTATACTGATGAGGTATACAAGATTGGATAGTGTCTTCAGCCAATCTCTTTTGAGATATAAAAGAGAAAAATGAGCAGAGACACACGGGAACCTCAAAGCTGTGCCGGGAGCACAGCATATCCTTTGGACCTGAGGTTCCTGTGCAGAGAAGCTCCCAGACCAAGGTAAGATTGATGGCACCGACTTTCCTCCAGAGCCGATGGAGAAAGCCTTCCCCTGGAGCTGATGCCCTGAATTTGGACTTGTAGCCTACTGGACTGTGAGAGAATAAACTTCTCTTTGTTAAAGCCATCCACTTGT